AATAGAAGTGACATACCCTAAGATACTTAGATATTTACAACAATCATATGAATCTTAAATTACAATGAAATAATTTGCATTGTTCAATGAGATATGCTCTTGAAGAGCTTCATTTAAAAAATATAACCTTGGGTTATTCTCAAGTCTAAAAGGAAACCTACCATTAAAGTGCCAAGATGCTCCTAGATCTGTATATGAGAAAACAAGTTGGTATTCCTAAATAGTATTATATATGGGATATGAAGTTATGAGCCACATTAGAGATAAAATATAATGTGTATGACACTAGAAGGCAACATCACACTCTTAAGATTAAAGCTAAACATATGAACATAATAAAACATGAATCGCTCACGCTCTGCTAGGGTTTCGCCATGGCGATCCCTGGTTGTTACTCCACTGCATCTCTTCGTCGATCAAGCTCTGCTCGTCGTACGTCGATTTCGTCACTTCTGTCTGATTCGTCGTTGTCGCCGCTGTCGACATGCGTCGTCCACTTCATTGCCACCTCGTCTGCTGCTCGTGCGGCTGCATTGGGCTCAGTCATCAAGCTCAACATCCTGCTCGTGTGGTCGCGCCTTCCAGTTGTTGCCTCTCGTCTGCTGCTCGTGCATCGTCTACTCCATCGCTCTTGTTGTTGCTCGTGCGACAACGTCGGGCTCAGTCGTCGAGCTCATCATCTCTTCGTTGTCTGCTACCCGTGCGGTCGCGCCTTCCAGTCTTCGCCTCTCGTCCTCAGGCTCGATTTGAATTCGCACAAGCTTCGGGTTCCTGCTCCTGCTCCCTGTTCTGGATTCGGAGTTTGCTCTCTGCTTTGCTTTTTTTACTGTTAATAACGTCGCACCTCCATCTATTAGGGATGACTCCAGACAGATCATATGTTGTTGCCCTTACGGATGTCAACGCCTCTGGTACACCTAAATCGTGATCTTTCCCTCTTTCGTTTGAGTGAGCGGAGGACATCAAAAAATCAGATAGGATGAATGCGAAGCATGTCATCTTTTCTACAGAAGCTGAAGGTATTTAACTTGCTTCCTCCTGTCGACTGAATTTGGTCGGGAGATTTCTGTATGGTCATCCCAAAATGGAGCTGGTTCGTAAGGAATTTGAGCTTATGCACCTTGTTGGGGAGTGAAAAATTGGACTATTGGATGGAAGACACATTCTTATGCAATTAAATAATGAAGAGAATTACACGCGCTTGTTTGCTAGAGGGATAATCTGAATTGATGATGGAGCAATGAAGATTCTGAAATTGTTTGTGAATTTTGACCTACAGACGGAACCACCAATCATTCTGGTTTGGATTCGCCTCTCTGGTCTGAAATTTCATTATTTTACTCAAAAAGTGTTGTACTCTATTGTCTCAGCTTTCTCATGTACTCTATTGTCTCAGCTTATGGTAAGCCACTCAAAATGGACATTCCTACTTTTAATCTTTCTCACCCATCTGAAGTCAGAGTACTTGTTGAAAGTGACATCACTTCATCCGCTTATGAGGAAATTTGGTTGGGCACACATCATCATGAATATTGGCAAAAGGTAGTGATTGAGCATTTTCCTTCGTATTGTTCGAACTGTCGTATGTTCAACCACTCCAGTTCTCAATACCACCATCTACACCCCCAACTCAGACCAAAAAAACACAGTGCTCCTCCAGAGACAGTGATTTCAACTCCTGATCATGATCAACTCTAAATTATTGACTCTATTGATTATCAAAAAGTTACCCCTGAAGACGTCAATATTCTCGCACGCAATATGACAACCATTCAGTCCCCAGTTGTGGCTCCCCCATCTTTGGAACCTCCTATAGTGGGGGGAGAGGGAGATTGTTTAGACCCCACCTGCCCTAGAACCTATCACCGATATTACAGGTGACAATATTTCTACTACTTCACTTCCGCCTCATCAGGTCGAGCAAGCTGTTAATGTTACTCAGGCTCATGGGGATCATAATGCGCAACAGCCTACACCTGTCCGACCAACTCTAGAATCTACTGATCAGATAAGTCAATCATCGGATGAGGAATGATAAGTCTACACATCCAGGAGGAAGAAGAAGAATGGAGACCTACTTGAGCTCAGGAATCTAATCGATGATACTTTGTTTACTTCGGACAATGGTACTCACCTTACCAATTTGTTAGCCAACTCACTTCCGAGAACTAGAGGCAGAAAGAGGACTAAAGTGAGACGTCCCTAGCACTCTTGCGCCCTTAGGTGGATTTTTCGTTTTTTACCTTTATGTATCTTTGTTTTATTTGGAATTTGTGTGTGTTGTATTGTGTGAGTTGAGCTTTCTTTTAGGCCCTCTCATTCAACCTTTCTGTATCTTTTCCGCTTTAATATATTAGCCCTTCAACTTTTTCAAAAAAAAAAACTATATAAATCACAAACATGACTTATATTTTATGAGGTTTGTGTGTGTGTGTGTGTGTGTTTATGAAATTAACATTTGGAGTTTTAAATCACAAACATATGAAAGTTTCTAACACCAAATATGAACATACATGTACACCTAGAGCGTTCAACATTTGAAGCTAATATAAGATCAATAAAAGTTAAAAATTTGCAACATGACAATATACACATCATATTGAAATATACATCATATTGAAATATACATCATATTGAAATATAAACATGACTGATACTAATGATATCAAATGTTATGAAATATATAAACATTTTTCACATAAAATATATTATGTAGATGCATATTCTAAATGCATATGATTTAACTTTATATGAACTGTATGCATATGGAAAAATCTACTAAATTATATGCATTAAAATGGAGATTAAATGTCCAACATATAAAATGCAGGATATATGTGTGTGCATTCTAAGTACTAATAAATACCTGACATGCTTATCTATATATTTTATGATTTTCAGATAAAGTTTAAAACCCTAATATATTTAATGGTAGGATTCCAAGCTCATGACTTATCCGACCTTACCACCAGGGTAAAAGGTCAACAGTCAACAGAGAAATACAATCAGTTAAATATTTGATAGTGTGATGATTGTATGCATAAACTTTTACTTGATTGATCTATAGTCAACAGAATTTCTTTAACAAAATTTCCATGATCAAAAGAAGTTTGTATTCTACCTAATACAAACCTCATCAAACCATCAAAGAGAAAAGATCAAGCAAGCATAAAAATTCAGGATTTTGATACCAAACCATAGCATCACAATCCTTAACCAAAGGGAAAAGATACTTAGGTTCACGAAGCGGGAAGGGGTGTGGGAAAAAAGCTTCCTGACCTAATTTTTCCTTCCAACATCAACTTATCTTAATTTCTAAAATAAACTAAGGGGGTTCTAAGAGAGATGAAAAGAGGAAGAAGTCCGTAAGAATCTCAAAATCGAGGGGTTGTAATTGGTCTTAAGTCACTCCAAACTTTTCTCTTTCCAACATCTGATGAAGCAGCAATTTCTCCTTCAAACTTCACTCGGCTCTCTTCCTTGCTCTCTCAAGGCTTCTCCAGAATTCTTCTCATCAAAATCTTAAGCTATGCTCTCAAATTTCCCAAGAAGAAGACGAAAAAGGAAGATGGAGAAGAAAAATAACAAGTGGAAGAAGTAGGCGATGGAAACCATAAATGAGATTGAGGTACTAGAAGTAGCTAAGAGAACTAGAAAATATTAACAGAGTTTGCTATATCAATCAATCCAATGTTAAAGTGGCATAATATGAAGCATTATACAACAAATAAAATACAAACTCCACTGAGTTAGGTTGAAGTTGCATATGAAAATTTGATGAGTATACAATTAGACCAAGCTAGTGAGAAAACTAAAATTATCGGAGATAAGTTAAAAATCTATACGGGGTTATTACGACCCAAAACATAGAAATGTGTGAATTTAAAATGAGCGAATTTATATCCTTCATAATTAGAATAGTGAAAGATATATTCATATTTGGCCTAGGAGAAACTAAATCCAAAATAAACAAGGACATTTAAAATAATTGATAAAATTGATAACAAAAATGCAATTACCAGTAGATATATCTGATGCACAAAGTACTTTTTATGTATCAATACTCAAAAAATGACATTGATAACAATCGGAATCCATAAAATCAGATTGAGGTACAAATAGTTTAACTATATTAAGGAACTTTGATGATAAACATTTGAGAAAAAAAAATCCTATTTCTGAAAGTAAAATGAAGGCCTAGAGCAAAAAAAAACGACCTTGAAAAGACAAAAAAAAAGGTATGGGATATAACTTTCTTATCTATTTTAACTTATTACGAAAAAAGTGAACCTCGAAAACAAAAATTCAATTAGGAGAGAAATAATCGTAATTAAAAGTCCTAAAATTTATACCTTATTTTTTCCACCCCATAAAAATAATTAGAAGAATTTTATAAATTTCTATATTTTATTTTTAATCATTTTAATAAACAAATAAATTATATCTATATAATTTTTATAAATAAAAACAACTTCAAGTGCACCCAGTTTGAGGCGATCCACGTATGGCTTGAAATAGGATTGAAAAAAATTTGATCCATAGTTTCGGCTTATCGCTCAGGTCACTTATTCTGATTTGATTTCAATCCGAATCAAAATTCAAATCAATTTTCGAGCAATTGATGATCTTAGAGCTAAATTCTCAACCCTAGGTACCAACCTACCCATATTCATTTATTTGACCTGCTGTTGTCGGGAGGGTAAAGTGTGACAGAAGACAATCTCGCAAAACTTGCACGACTATTTCAAACAAATTATTAAAAGTAACACGTGCTTCCATATAACAACAATGAATGTGAATAATTCATCAGATCATACTTGCAAAGTTCCTCGACTGTAGTTTGAATTTTCAGGTTAATAAGCTTAAATCTCCACTTGCAGGTTATTAATACAACAACAACAGCAGCAGCAACAAACCTTTATCCCACTAAGTAGGGTCGACTACATGAATCCTTTTTCTCCATCCTTTTTCTCCATTTTTTTCTCCATTGCGTCCTATTGAGTGTCATAATTTCATTTAATTCTAATAAATTAAAACTTGCAGTTTATTAATAAAAAGAAATGCTTGGCATTGCCTCAGCGCACCTTTGGATGAAAACCAAACAAGCGACCAAGAAAATGATACTTAAACTGAAAATGGTATTCTCACTGCCATTCTTTGTGCTAGCCATTGCATTTCAGGATCTGGATCAATAAAAGAGTGCGCAAGAAATTGTTCAGCCTCCTCATCCAACAACTCTCTTGACCATGTTACTCGGTTTGAAAGAAAGCTTCCCGGCCCAGAGCACCTATAAAATTGTGGTTAGTTAATTTAAGCAAGTTATCAATATCAACATAGCCCCATAAAATACAAGCACTTCTAGCGCATGATTCCTCAAAAAAAAGCCAAAATTAAACCAAGTAACCTAGTAGAAAGAAAGTGACCAAATTCAATTTTATAACATTCCAAGAAAATGATTCTAGCAAATTGCAGAGACATATGATATCACTCAAAATTTAACTCAAATAAATAAAATCCATAAAATTATGGGGATCAATTCCTACTTTAGTTGACTCATAAGAAACCTCATTCTCCGTTTGTGCCTGTCAAAAGTTACAGGAAATGTTAAACTTATATTTCTCAAATACTTTTGCACGGCTTCGAATAAAATTACCCCTTATCTATCCCATTTTCTTCCGAACCTTACTACATAAATTATATCTACCTCGTTTATTGTTGTATCCTCTATCCATCATTGTAAATACCCAACTCACTCAAAATTTAATTTTCACTACCTTACCATCAATATATGCTAGACTGACCGTCCCTCTATTATAATCGATTCTCAATATATTCTTTTAAGTTTTGTCACACATTCATCTTAACATTCCAATTTGCCACCCAATTTGTTTATCAATGATTAACTTATTGCCAAATGCAAATTCCAAAAAAATAAAACTTACTCTTAAATCTCAACAATATTCCCTTAGGGCTGGTTCGGGATCATTTTCATAGTGTTTTTGGTTTTATTTTTATTTTTCTTTCAAAAATATATTTATTTTAGTGTATCTTTTATATGTTTTAATTTTCTCTTTAAAAACACTTAAAAAAGATTTTTAGGTGTGTTGTGTGTTTCTTAAAAAACTGAATCTGCCAAAAAAAAAATTTATTTCAACAACACATAGTCAAAATAAAATAAAAATAAGAAAACAAAAACAAAAAACAAAAAAAAAAATCACAAATAGCCCCATAATATATAGTACTCCAAATTGCTGCTCTACTTTAGCCACCTCACATTCACTACGTATGTCATAGATTCTCCATCTATAATAATTAGTATTATAGATTGATCAACAAAATTAGAGTTAGCTCTTAATAAGATACATGAACTTAAAACTTCAAATCAAGATAAAAATCTACTGAGATTTTGAGCACAAAGTGAAAAAATGTTGTGCTTTGGTTAAACAAAGCCACAATAAGAAATTTTTAATATTGAGACGCCAAATGGTTAAAGAATAAACATTTTGATACCAATATTTAAGAAAAAAATATTGATTGTGGTAATGTAGAAGAATCAAACTTATGAGTAAGGTAACATTTCTAAATTTTGATTTTGTCATGAATATGTGAGTCATTTTATGTTCTTAGACCTAGTATCCTTTCTATAGCTATTCTAGTATGCGTCATTATTTTGTGGTGGTACATTCATTTATTAATTAGAAAATTTTGAGACATAAGAGATTGTTCATAGCATGAATTCACTTATTATTGTGTATAAGAAAGCCTTAATATATTTCAAAATTTTAATACTTGAACAGGTGTGAGGATGTTAAGGAGAGGCAATTTTGTTTGGTGAGACATCTTTATCTTATTAATTCAAATTTCATCTTTTCAACCTTATATCTTTTTATTCTTTCAAGGCTGTCTTGAATCCATTTTGTATTAAAACTATGATTTCAAATCATTCAATAAGTAGAATTACATTGAAAACAAGTTCCACTAATTTTTTTTATATTTTCCCAAAAAATTAGAAGCAAAATGTGAAAAGATTGTATCCGTAAAAGGGTTGGTGTAGCTCCAGTGTCAGACAAGATTAGAGAGATTCGTCTTAGATAATTTGGTCACATTAAATGACGACCATCTAATGATTCAATTAGGAGAGTAGATCTTTTAGATTCAACTTATGCTAAGAAAGGTAGAGTAAAAAGACTTGGGTATATAAAAAATTATCCTAATTTATTAGAATTAAATGAAAATATGCCACTCAATATGACACAATGGAGAAAAATGATTCATGTAGCTTACCCTACTTAGTGAGATAAAGGCTTGTTGTTTTCGTCGTCGTTGTTGTTGTTTCCCAAAAAAATTGAAACACTTCCACTTTTTCCAGGGTTTTAACGGAATAACAAAACTATTGTTCATAATGAAAAATGAAGTCATCAAGATCCCTTAATTTTCCTCTCATCATCCCTCTATCACAACCAATAGCTCTCCAAAAATCTGACTAATCATAATTTACCTGATTAAAATTCTTCCAATCAATACCAATCTGATCGCCTAAACCTTGATTTATTTCAAAAAACTAAAAACAAATCTTCAAAATTAAAATTATTTATAATCATATTCTACCAAACCTTGTCTAACCCAATACCAATCTTATCTCCAAAACCTTTATTTAGTTTAATAAACTAAAAAAAACTTCAAAATTAAAATTATTAAAATCCTATTCTACCCAACCTTGTCTAAACCTCCCCTTTAAAAAAAAAATCTAAAAAAAGGAAAAGAGAAAAAAAGAAAAATAAAATAAAAACATAGATTTCCTAAATCAAATGTGAATCTTCTACAAGACGTTCCACTAGAAGACTTCATTCATCTTCTTGTCAAGGACTTTACATTCTAGAAGACTTCATTCATCTTCTTGTCAAGAAAATTACACCACCTTCTTCAAAGCTATCAATACAAGACAAAGTATGATTGTGTATTATGATTAACGAATAGAATCTCGAACAAAAATTTGGATTGAAAGTTTATGCAAATTAGTAAAATCCGATGTCATCTAAATATTCTAAATCTTAAAGAACATTAACTCAAATAATTTGAATCTTACGGTATTCCCTTAACTGGCTAATTAAAAAAAAAAATTTGCGTTTATTTTCATAAAGTGAGTATTTCCAAGAGTTAAATAGGCTGTCAATAATATGATATGATTAGGATCTAATCGCCTTTTTATGTAATCTTAATACTCACAATAACTTATTTGACAGCTAATAAAGCTTGAATTGTATATTCAAGTACATTCAATTGCCAATAAATAGGTTAGAAAAACATTTCATACAGGTTGAGATTATTTGTTCATCTCTATAATCATACTACCTTAATGCAAATTTCATCTTGGAGATGTGATGAATTGGGAAATATATCCCAAAGAATAGAAACAAATGGGAAGAACGACACTACAACCAAAATAATACTAATAATAATAATAATAACAGATTTTATTTTTCCATCCTTAAGAACATGATTAACCCTGGAAGATATCTCTGAAAGCTTCAAGTTTTTCAAGCACTCCACTGCAATAGATTAACTTGGTTGAAATATTGACCGACTAATTAAATTAATGAAGCCGACAATTTTTTTATTTATTCTTTTGGTTGAGCTTGACTGATTAAATCACTTGAAATAAAAGCCCAGTAAGTTGAGTTTAGAATAGTAGATCAATATGAGACTGGCACAAAGCAAGAAAACACAAGGTGGGCTGGCACAAAGCAGTAAGGGCACATTCAGCACAGACTCCTGGGAGCTAGAAGACACTTGATTTGAGAAGAGAGGCCGAAGGGAATATCAAATCTCAATTCATCATATCCTCTCCTTCACACAAGGCTAGCGCTAATTTTATAGTCTCAACACTCAAAAGTTAGCCTAACAAAAAGAATTTTATTAGCTATTAAATGCTTGACTAAAACATCCTTAATTACACTTACACAATATGTTTGAAAAAATATTTAAACTATGTGGACATATTTTGACAGCTAATTCTAATGATAATAATCAATTTATATAAAAATAAGAACAAACACAATACAAACTCATGACCAAAGACTAAAGGAACATGCCAATATCATTCAATCATGAATGGATATGGTAAGCATGGTCATGCACGCTTGAGCATGCAACCAAAATACACGGTCAAGCAAAAACAAAATCATTCATACAGGCTTATTACTCATAAACAAAGCAATCGGTAACAGATTAAAAGAAAAAAAGGATAAACAAAAAATTCCCAAATTAGCATTGAGGTATAGTTGCCACATTGATCCATAATCAAAATTATTAGATCTGTGAACTCTAGCTAGTTTCTTATGAAACGAACATCAAATTGTAGTTTCATTTTCTTCAAAAAATTTATCCAAACCTGAGCTGAGACTATCATGAAGTGAACTCACTAATGAGATTAGAGGCATGAAATGCAAGCCAACTTATCATTCCTCACAGCAAAATTACCTGTATTCATAAAAGCAGGCACTCCTCTCATTTTCGGGCTTATCCCAGTTGTTCCACCCAGTAGGTCTTATGCACGCATCCATCCAGGTGTATGCAAAAATAACCCTTGCAAACGGACCCCATGGTCGCCCAAGATATGCATATGACACGCCACCATTGCCGGTTATAACACACCTGGATTATAGATGGATCGCTAATTGGAAAACAAAATAAATGCAGGAATTGGTAATTAAAAAACATTAGCAAGCTATTACAGCAGAACAACATGCAATGTTTTTTGAAAAAATAGAGGATACATTCTGAAACTCAAAAGAAATGAAGATTTAATTAGAAATTTGAACCATTTTACCAACGGCTTTAGAATGCACATGGAATGACACAATATCTTAGGACTGTTTGGTCTGGTGAAAAAGGAAAGTTGGGTAAAAGTAATGTATTCTATTTGAAATACTTTGGAGTCGTTTAGTTCAATGTAAAATAAATATAGGACTTCACATTTGCTCCTTTGATTTGAAAAAATGAATTCTAAATAAAATATATCCGTCAATGGCAGTGGCGGCGGGCAGCGGATCCAACAATTTGCAGTTGCGGTACAGTTGAGGGTGGCGGTTGTTGGGTGGCATGGCAAGCATTGACAACTGCAGTCGGGTGCGCCGCATAGACAATGGCAACACTTTACAAAAAGTGATGCATTTGGAATCACCAATTCCAATGAATTCCAAATACATTAATATAAACCTAGATAATGAATTTCATAGGCATTGTAATTTTACAATGTGTTTATTTTTCTTCCCACCACAATATATTCTCAAAACTGCTGGAAAAGAAATGCAATGCTCTCTACTGTTGTCGACTAAACAACACCATAATGAAGATGATCAGCAAGTGCAAGTGATATCCAAGCATTATAAAATAGTTGATTATATTCTAACATGTTAAAAAATTTTAATTAAGAAAACATGTGAAAAGCATATTCAAAAACAGAGTTTCATTCCGTTTGAAGTCATCCTTAATGAAAGAATAACTAACAAATTTTTGCAAGGGGATCTTATTAGCCTATCCACAATTGCTCCATAAAACTCTCCATAACAATGGGCCATAAAGCAAGTATAGACTACTTGGGATTGAGTAAATTCTGAGTAAACTACTTCCTACTCAAACAAAAACAGCATCTCATGTACTTTGGGTTTTATGAGAACAAATTAGGCTACATATAACATGAAAAGTAGCAAATCTAAAATAGATCCCATAAATAACAAAGAATGTTAGAGCTAACATCCATGCCCAGTAATTGAATGACAGTTCTTTCTCTAAGGATGGTCCCTCCCATATCCAAAGAGTGACTAGGTCAATACTTAATCCTTGTGCTAACTATTTTCTTGATTTTAGGATTGCATAAAAGAGTTATATTGAGATTCAAACGGATGACTTCAAAGAACTGTCATAAAACCCAAAGTAATGTAATTTTATGACGATGATATGAAATTTAGCGGTTGTCACGAGTTCTCCAACTTTCATAAGTAATGTCATTCAATACTTATGACATTACTTATGAAGTCATAAAACTCAAGTTACATATCAATTACACAAAAAATTTGTAATGCTTGCAGAATTTTATGGAGAGTTTTATGAAAATTAGCCTCGAATTGAATTATTTTGGTTTATGAAATTTAGCCTCGAATTGAAATTCTTTATCTAAGGATGGTTCCTCCCATATCCAAAGAGTGACTAGGTCAATACTTAATCCTTGTGTTAACTATTTTCTTGATTTTAGATTGCATAAAAGAGTTATATTGAGATTCAAACGGATGACTTCAAAGAACTGTCATAAAACCCAAAGTAATGTAATTTTATGATGATGATATGAAATTTAGCGGTTGTCACGAGTTCTCCAACCTTCATAAGGTAATGTCATTCAATACTTATGACATTACTTATGAAGTCATAAAACCCAAGTTACATATCAATTACATATCAATATATATTTGACAGAGTGAAGTGAGCTTTTTGAAATGGCTTACCTAAATTAGTTCACAGCTCCAATATGGGACAACCGCTAAATCAAGTAAAACCTCTATTAGCCAACATCCAACTTTAATTTTTTTGGGGGCCAACATTCTAACTATGAGTGTTTAGATGGTTGGAGAACTCGTGACAACCGCTAAATTTCATATCATCAGAAGTGTTTAGAGGATTAATTTTCAAAACCTTAGGTATCCCATTTCAAAGAGATTGAGTTGACTCCAAATTTCAAAATTCCCTCTCTTGAACAGGAACATAAGGAGAAGCCAAACCAAAATGTAAGCCACATGCAAGAGCTCACTTCACTCTGTCAAACAAACTAAATAACACAAAAATCTGTAAAGTTGGCCCCCTAAAAAAAGAAAATTTCAACATTTTATAATGTGCCCAAATTATTAATTAGCCTAGACTGGAGCGTTTATGAATTTCATATAAATTTCATCATCATGGAGAGGCTTAATACAATGCAAACCCTGTGATTAATTAATCCCTAAAAAGAACTCTCAAATATATCAAGAGGATCGGTTTTTTAGTTATGCGGATGATGTATTACATTGCAATCTTTAGTTACTTTCATGTAGAGGAAATGGGGTTTACTTAATTAAGATCCCATGGATCCATGCAAACCTAATTTTTAAAAATGAAAGAAGAAAGTGACTTTCACAATTCCTCTACTCAAGAAAGTATAAGGGCACCCTTTCACTAATGAGCAATGAGAATGGTATTGCAACTTCCTTGAAGTGTATAGAAGAAACAAAATTTAAAGTTGGATGTTGGCTAATAGAGGTAGTTGCGTGCATGATGTCAAACTAAAGCCTTGGGATTTCAAATAGCTAATATTTTTACAAAACTTTTGGCAGAAGATTACTTTGTAAACTAAGAAGAAACTTGGATTACTAGATCCAAACATTTGATAAATACTTTGCTATAAATATATTATCCTTTCATGTTATTAATTTTTTTTCTATTATTAGAAGGTGAAAAGTATGTGCTTTGTTATTTATTTTTACATATGAATTAACTTTGGGGCATCGTTTGTGTTCTAAATATTAACTATTTTATTTGATCACGACATAATAAAGAGGGAGATATTAAATCAAGAGGGATACACCATTTTAAATGTAAGTTCATAAAATTATCAATTATAAAATTATTGTCATAAAAAATGAGAGTTTGTTGATCTCACGAGCCTCTGATATACAAAGAGGAAGTGTAACAAGCGATGGGACAATGATATACAACAATTGAATGTAATCCCCTCTTCCAATAATTTATTGAGAACAGTTTTTTTTTTGTTTCTTTGTACACCTGTCATGATAGCTTCCCTCTTTTAAGGTATTAAGAGCAAGCTTTTCTCGTCTGTAACAACGTTTAGTAATTTTTTTTGCGAGGAACCCTACATGGAGCATAAAGTAGGTTAAGTATGTCCCACCCTACTAAGTTACAAATATTAATTGGGTGAGGCAATGCTCGAGAATAAATAGTAGTTTTTCTTACTTTAATTCTTTTAAGCAATTTTTACTCAACAACCAATATATATTCACGATATAGTGTATTCCTTTTAAGATTCTTTAATTTTTTTTACCTTGTTTTCTCTTTTAAAGGAATATTAATTGTATTTAGATGAGTTCATTTTTCATTAATGTCCAATAATGGTAGACTTGCATTGATTTTTACTTTATTGACATAAGAACAAAATTTAAGATCTACTTGCCTGCAAACATACAAGTTTAATTTTTTTCTTCGTGAAACTGCACCCTCCAGTCTTTGTAGAATTTTCTTTCAATCCCAGGATAATAAAATTAATATGTAGAAGGAATGGAATAATTGCAACTACTCAATTGCCAATGTTATTTTTGGTTTATATCCAATTCATACATTAATCCACTCCATAAAAATCTTCTTAGACTCTTAGTACATATTTTCTTTTTGAAATGCTATTTTGTTCCAAGCTATTTTTATGTTATGTTTAGTTTCAAAACTTGTTTTTCCCTCCACAACAAATGAGCCATTTTTAAAAACATGAACAGATGATTATTTTATTTTATTTTTTGAATTATTTAGGAAATGCTCATGAAAGTGGCGAAGAACTAATTTTGGTTAGTTTCATGAAACTTAATATGTGCCTGTACATGCACAACTACTTGGATTGTTAAATTGTTACCATCCTTGATAATATTTTTGGGGCTAATCGATTGGAAAAATCTTACATTAAAGCGAGAAAAATCAATGATTTTTCTTCTTTTTTTTTCTCAAAAAAAGAAGTTTCTACAATTGGTTTATGATGGATGAATGCAGACAAAAAGATATGAATATGATCTAACACAGAGAATACAATTTCTTTAAAATATCTACTTTGCTCAAGTTATCTTCTCAAGAGAAAAATAAAACTCTTATGAATTGTTCAACTGGCTTTCCACAGAGATGCTTAATTGCAGCTGTTAACATTCTACTAATAAAAAGATGTTCTGAAGCATTTTTCCCAAATAAAAAGATTTTCTAAAGTATGAAAGGGTCACATGGGATCTATCTACACATGATTTGTAAGTAAAACAAGCCAAAAACAGAACTTTAAGAGAAGCTTAAGACATGCTGAGAAATTGGACACCTAAAACCTGATGTACTAAATGATCAGCAGCACTACCAGCACATAAAAACCAAATGGACAGAGAAGGCAAACACATCCATACCTCAAAAACACGTAACCTGTTGATTCTTGAGAGGATTTCCTACTTTGAGCAGTTATGAATCCCGTAGATTTGCAATTGATGTGACAATGTTCAAGAAGTGCTGTGGCATTCCCGAAAATGAAATCCACACTTCCTTCAATATAGCAATCTCGCAAATAATGTTTGCCATAATGCAAATACAAGGTATCCTACAAACATTTTTAAGGGTCACATTCTTCCACCAACATCGAAATGACCTTTACTACATTGAAATGACCTTTACTAATATAATAATTATTCTGCATAAAAAAAATATATCCATTAACTTGCCAAGAGGAAAGTGGAATTTTTATGAGAATTAAGAGCATTGTAATCAAGACAATCAATATCAATAACTATCCAAATTGTTTAAAATAGGTTTCATTGTTGTTGAATTAATATATATAAGTGAAGGACTATATCTAGATTACAGCTTCAGGATACATTTTGATTTTTTGTTACAAAATGAACAGAAAAACTAAAAGTTGCAAGAGTAAATTACATGCAGATCAAGCAGCAGGAGATTGCCAAATGGCATGTACCTGCCATCCAAGGAACCTGCAATTATAGAATGCACACCGATCAGCTGTAACTCTGACTGCAACGGCTTGGCCAGAACCCTGTAAGAACATAACATAAAAGAAAAAAATAATAACTTCAAAAGCAAGCGTTGCACTCATCCCAGAGCAAAATCGATATTATTACATCAACCTGAGGGGCTGAGTTCTCAAAGGTAATATTCTCAGCAATGAAATCCTCTCCTTCAATGATGAAGCTCCCACAACCAAATGTTCCTGTGCCGATCACACGGGATGCCTGATCGGTTCATCAATTAAAGTAGAAAAGATAACAAATCCATAATTATAAGTAAAGGCATGATAGAAAAAGCAAATTATACAGTGACAACAGGCTGGTACTTACAAACCTGGTGATGGTTAATGCATGTGGCTGTGTTGTGCCAGGAGATAATGGTTCTCTCAGGGTTATAGGCAGCAAGGGTGATGAGGTTCTTGGTCTTAGGAACATATACAGGCCCCCTATAAAGCCCAGGAGACACCTGGATCACTGTCCTCATGCTATTAGAAAGTGAGACTGAATCAATTGCTTCCTGCACCTTGTCATAATCTCCGCTCCCATCCATGGACACTCTTATCACTCGAACTTGACTTGAAGTCATCTTTTCCTCCTTTGCTTTACCTTTCACTATCAAAAAAAAAATTATATTAAATCTTGAGAAGCTCTATAAAGATGGAGGTTGAAATAAATACTTGTTATTTATCTTTCTTTTTTTCTTAGCCACTAGCTATAGTAACGATCATTACTTATCACAAAGCAGAAAATATGTATAAAAAGGAGTTTAAGACGGATATGTAGAAGCGATATCTTATTTGAAAAATTACAATAAATAATTAACCAAACATTGAGAAACATCAAACTAAAAATATGCAAATATTGATGTATTCCACAAAATATTCATATAAAACTTGAAAAGTTGCATGCCACTTTCAATAATTCAGATGTGCCTCTCGTGTTCTGTCCTGTGCCTCGCTCCAGGTTTAGAGCAGACGGTCAATCATATCAAATCCCCAGTCCAGTACTTTCGCAACCCATCCATCTCTATTTTATTGAAATCTTTGGTTACTACCTTTTCCAGGATGATGTGTCTCACGAACCATTATAATCAAAATCAATAACTCCCAAATGACGCAGCCTTAAAAGCATCTTTTAGTCGATAAAACTAGAGAGCTCTTCAGATCTTGTTTGGTAATTTTATCAGATTTGACCCACCAGCAAACAATACAATTGGCATGGAGAATCATTATTTAAGTTACCTACGAGTACATATTTTACGTAAAATTAGGAGTTATCTGCTTAAAGAGAGGAAGTTCAAAGAAACCAAAGAGGTAGGAGTTGGAAATCCACGGGTTGTCTTGTTTTCTCTGTATTGACTCTAAACTATCACTACATTGAGAGAAAGGCTAATAGAAAGGTGTACTCAGTGGAAAGCAACAGTAAATTAAAGCTCTTGGTCGACGTACAGTAGATGGTTAACGGAAATTTAGCAGCTGTTTGGTAGTAGAATTTGAGGAGGATTTAGGACGAATAGATGCAAATTCGGTTGCAGAAAGCGGGGTGGGTCCGGGCACGAGGAACACGGAGAATGGGAGAACTTCCTCTTCGCCGGGAAGGACTACTTCACGATTGAGCCTAGCAGGTAGCTGACCTAGTGATTTCATAGGGGCTGTTTGGTAGCAGGATTGAGCAGGATATAACCTAAAGCCTGCCAAACAACAAAACGCTAAAACCTACAGGATCTTAAATCCCGTTTCTGCTTCGTTTTTCCTGAAGGATTTAGCAAATCTCGTTGGAAGGTGGATTTACGGAGACGTGGTTAGTCAGGTGAGAAATGGAGAGAAAAGGGCAGTCATACAGGAGTTTCAGAGATCTTGGTATGCCGCGATCCCGTCGTTGCCTTCCCAACTAGCTCCAGTCGAGGGTTTAGGACTCGAGAGAAGGATGAGTTGGCGATGATTTCAGGCCAGATAGGGAGGGAGAGAGAGGTTTGCGCGCAGGATATAATTTGGGGTTAGTTTAAATAGAACTTAAATCCTTTAAATTCGAATTTATGGAAGGTTGAAGGGCAATTCTTCCAAATTATTTGCTATATAATAAATAAATTTTAATAAATCCTGATGAGTATTTTGACAAATTTAATGATTTAATAGAAATCCCGTAAATTAGTCTTCCAACTGAATTTACTAAATCCCAAATTTAAGACAAAATAGATATGAAATAGGTATTAAGAACCTATAGAATTTACAAATATCTTCTTTGCAAGTTTTAGCATAAATCTTATATAAATTCTTCTTAAAATCGACAACCAAACAACTCCTTAATATGACATTCTAAACACCTAAAATCGCAAATTTACATTTTAATGAAGTTAAGTTTACTCATTCTTCATTACAGTCACTCAAAGTAACGGTGTTTGGGCCTTGTTTCCCTCCTGTATGTTTCATCCATCTGAATCTCCCGGCCTGTCGCTTGTCGTCAACATTGTTTCGCGTGTGTTCTTCTCACATTTCATCTCATTCCCATGTTCTCATCTTGTGCCTCCTATCTTGTTTGCATTGTCGTTCTTCGTGATTTGATCGCCCATTTTAATCTTGAATTATAAGGCACGACTTTTTTTTTTATTCTTAGAAAAAATGGTGAATATTAGCTAGTGAAAGAGATAATGCATGCCAATTTGAATATTTAAAATTGGACACATTGAATTTGTATGAGATACATTCTACAAATAGAACAATTTTATGATGAAGTATAAGAAATTCTAGCTAACATGTTGTAATGGTTATGCAGTTGAGTGTACCCACTCTTTTCCTATTGCGAGCTACAGCTAGATGCATATACATTTTACAGGAGCACTTTTTTTTAAAAAAAAAATTTTAACTTATGTAGTATGCATCTACAACTGATTTTAGGAGGTGTGTTGTAAACTTTACTACATATTTATTAAGGCAAAGACCATTCCTTCTCTATGAAGTATGATATTAGATTTTGGTTTCACACAATTTATTGAATCAAACATGAGCAAGGTCATGCTTCAATGCTTCTCTGTGTGAAACACTAATCAAACATTTACTTATGATTAGTGCACTATATATTCATCATTTCATGTGTGAAAACGTTATTGCATCTGTAAATCAATAATTGAAATCTACTAATTATTTTTATTAATTTTTACACCATGTTTTATATTATGCAAGAGTAATTAGGTGGACTCAATCATAATCATAAATATTGAACCCTATGTGCAATTACTAGGTAATTATTGTGGAATTAGATCTCATGTTTTCATACAATTACTCTCCTTCTAAATTTTTTTGTGTTTATTTGTCATGTTATTCAAATTTTTTTATTTTTCTTTGACACATTTTTGGTGTATTCAAATAAATTTAGTTATTTTAATTCTTCTTAAATTTATTAGTTTTTTTTTGTAGCTACACGTAATAACTGAGAGGTATGTGTGTTATTCTGTTATTACATTTTAATCCATGTTTAATTCATATATTTACGTAAATTGTTTTGAAAATTTAAATGTTTAAATTTGTCTTATTCATTTCGGTTATTTTGAAGGCGATCATGTTCTGTGATGACAAAATGATTGAGTGCATTCATTCATAATCTGAAAGCAGTAGCAGAGGTACAAATGGTTATAATTCATATATTGATGGGTAATTAATGAACTAAATATATAATGAGATGACTTTACAAAATTGGCTCTCAGTTTAAAAATTGATAAGTTTAAGAAAATTTTTTCAGCTCGTGGACATCAGTGATGATTTTGAGATAGTGTTTGAAGCAAGTAATAGAAAGAAAGTTAATACAACTTAGTTGTATACTAGCTGCCCATGAAGAGTAAGAGTTTTGGTTTGTGATGTTGGTCCTACATTTAAAATTAAGAAATTTGAAGCTTCGCATCTTTGCTCATGTGTGAATACAACTAGTAACAAACAAGCAAAGTCTAGTTAGGTTGTGATGTGTATAAAATATGTGTGATGCTGATATGTTATTTTTACCTTTTATTTTATTATTTTTATGTTTTTATGGGGTATTTGTAGAATTTTTTTAGCATACAAAAATAATTGAAGTGTAAGAAGCAATTTGGCCAAGGCAGTTCAAGCACCTGAGTGCACTAGCAAGTGCCTAAGCGTAGGAAAAGATCCCCATTCGACCAAAAAACATAGCATCCAAAAATTTGGCATCATGCTCAAGTGCCTAGGTGCCCCTTCCATCGCTACCTTATTATGTAAAAGACAGAGCATTTGAAAATATAGCGCCATTTAATTCGTTCATATATTTTAATCATAGGAGAATGAAAATACTTAGCTAATATGCATGATAGGAGAAACATCAAAAATCATACCAGGGTAAGGATATTTAGCTAATGATAGGATTGAGGAACAATTCAGGGTAAGGATTATCTAGTATTATTTCTTGTACTTTTTTTACTTGTTGGCTTTCTTTAATGCAATGAAGTTTTCAACACAAGCATTCCATGTGATCTCCCTCATACGAGAACTCAAATACATAACCCTCTCTAACTCTTCAAGCTTTCACAAAAAAAAAAACCCTAAGAAATTCTCTCATAAGAAAAACACAAGGATCAAACCCGAGGGCACACGAAAAAGGAGCCTCCATAACTAAAAGAGTCTCCAGAGCTTCAATGCATGCACTTATATAATCCATGCATCAAACATTGCCTCAAAACTGCTAAAATTGTCAACTTGTAGAACCAGTCATGCTTATGCCACTATTTGACTTGGGTGTGACGCCTTCTTTGTGAGGCGACTTGGACATGTTGCCTACTAGCCCGAGGTTGCTACCTTTTATGTAGGGTTGCTTGGGGGTACCACCTCTGGCTTGAGGGTGTCGTGTTTTGGATCAACAATACTCTTCATGACAGACAGGACAATGTGGGTGTCGCATTCTAGCACGGGGGTGATATGTCTCCTTTAGCTATTTTGCCTTCTTTAGCTCCCTGAAGCATGCTCAACACATCTATCATGTAAAACACAACAAAATATCTTGCACGAGGTAAAATAATCATAATCATAATCATATAGCAAAAAAAAATAGAATTAATCATAAAGATGCCACATTTGTGCTTCACATGAATTCCTCTAAACTTACCTATTACTTGCTCTTAAGTAATCTCAGAACTCAACTTTGACTCATATATATGATTTTGTAGCGCTCATAAAGGAAATTTCTTTCTCCTTAATAAGGTCATATACTTTCCAATAAAAACATCCAATTACCTGCTGAGATTTAGTTTTTCATTAATATTTAATAACTTTGCCTTTATTCAATTAATTTCTTTATGGGCATAAATAAATCTTCAAAGCACTTGATTTGGCATGGCCAAAATATTTTTGTTAATCAGAGAGGTTTTTAAGTCAATTAATTATTAATTAAAAAACCTGGAATTCCTTAATTTTTTTCTTGAATATAACATCTAAGGATTTAAATAAGGGAGTTTTTAAGTCTAATTAATTATGAAAAGTATTGGACAAAAGTTTTTACCATTCTTAACATTAGGTAGGGCTATTTTGATGAACAACTCGTGTTCAGCTTGTTGAATAGCTCATGTTCAATTTGTTCACTAAGCAAATGAGTTGAACACAAATAATTTTTTTGCGCTCGATATATAAATAAATCAAACACGAATAAAGATTTGTTTAATTGTGTTTACTTGTTTTAGCTTGAAATAATTACACACACACACACACACACACACACACACACAGATATACATATATATAATTAATGAGTGTTATTTTAAAATAATTTAATAGACTACAAGGTTACAATGATTTATAATCAAATAAAAATTATTAATTGATAATAGATATAAAATATATTAAATTCTACTTAAATAAATATTTTAATATGAATAATAAGATTTACAGCTCATACTTTCCCTTAACACACCATGACTGCATGAGTAGGGCAGTCAAAATGGCTTATTGTTTGTGAACAAATGGAGTTTGACTAGATAAGCTAGCAAATGAGTCAAACATAAACAAATTTTTTGCACTTGAAATATAAATGAGTTGAACACGGAGATTGTTCCCTTATAACGAGTCAAATATGAGTTGAGCCTAAACTCGCTCAAGCTCAGCTCATTTACACCCCAAACCTTAGGCTTCTTCTCAACAAGACTCAATATTTTTTTTCGTTTAACATTAAAGCCTTCTATTTTTTTTTCCTCTATATTTTATCTCTCTTTTTACTCTTTGCATTTCTATTAAGAATTACTATATTTAGTAACATAGTTATTACAATAATTTGAATGTCTAATATCACTTAATTAAATAATGAAATTGCCTTTAACACAGTTGCGGGTCAAATCTCTTAAAATCTTCCCCTCTAAGAATAAAATTAAAAAAAAAAGTGTGTCCGATAGGATAATATGAGATAGATGGTTCTTGTATTAAGTTAATTAGTGTGGTTAATTAGTTAATTAGAATTAATGAGACTAGTTACTTCTATAAATAGTCTCTGAATTAATAGAATATATATGGTAAGTTCTCTTGTTCTTCTCCCCTCCTAATTTTCTAGAGTTGTTATCTTTGAATTGTCTTTTATTTTACTCGGCCTTCTCTTATCTATTCCTCTCCCACCAATGTTTTGGAGTTGTCAACATCCTCTAATTGTTGAATATAACTGTTCAAGAAATGAGTTCGAATCAATTGTTGCTCTTGTTGATTTACTCTTATTTCTATCATCATCTTCCATAGTACTACAAGCATCTTCTCCAATCTTCATGAAACACCAAGAATTATTAGTTCTTCTCAGAGCCCTGCAAGAAATTAGTTTGTGTTCTCCCCTCTAGGGTTTCAATCTCGAATCATCGTCTTCCTTTACCGCAATTCAGTAATTTGAGATCCGAACATGATAGTTATTGCTTCTGTTGTGGATTAATCATCTGAGTTTATTTAATTCCTTTTCATGGAATCCAAGGACAAAACTCATAAAGGTCATGAGGTTTAGAAGAAGC